AATGCCAGCCAAGGACAAAGAAGCTGCAGTTTCCTTCCTGTGTGACAGCAGCTGGGAGCTGACCGCACGCTGTGGCTCTGGCCGAGCGGATGTCGGACTCGCAGTGTCCCGGATGGAAGAACAGACAGGGCCTTACCTTTGGGGATGGTGATCTGACAGCTCAGGTCACAGTCCTGCTGCAACTGATAAAAAGCGACTTCCTGCAACCTGGCTCGCTCCAGCTCCGAGAGGCTCTGGATGGGAACTGACCGCAGCCGAACGCTGCGGCCCGACATGCTGTTCCAGGTGAAGTCACCCTGCAGGCCCAGAGGAGAAACAGCAAGGGTTACACAGGCCGCCTACATCTCACAGGTTTTACTTATTTATCTTATTTTGTAAATAGATTAGCACAGCAGGAGTGCACACGCGGCGCCAGCACCGTTATCATCAGAACAGGGAGATATGGAAGTCATGCATTTGGATCATATAATTAAATGTTCCGCAGAAGACGCGCGGAAAAAATTAATAGGTTTTTAAAAATTCACTCACTATGAAGAAAAGATTCAAAAGGCCAAGTGCACTTATCGGGTTAATAAAGCATTTTACTTTATTTTTTAAAAAAATCTTTATTGTTGAAAGTATTACATATGTCCCCTTATTTCCTCTCTTGTATTGGATCACATGGAAACTTTTTGGTTTTGTATCTCAATAACAGGAAAAACTGCTGCTAATTGCCATCATGTCCACTAAGATATACAGCAGTGGTTCTCAACCTTCTGGCCCTTTAAATACAGTTCCTCATGTTGTGACCCAATCATAAAATTATTTTCGTTGCGACTTCATAACTGTCATGTTGCTACTGTTAGGAATTGTCATGTAAAAATCTGCTATGCAGGATGGTCTTAGGTGACCCCTGTGAAAGGGTCATTCAACTGCCAAAGGGGTCGCGACCCACAGGTTGAGAAGCGCTGATATAGAGGGGTCACTATGTACCGGTAGCCTACTGTGTACCAGCGACTGTGCCAACCTCATGACCTTATCTGATATAATATTTAGTAATATAATAACATTATATAATATAATCTAGCCCTAACCGGTTTGGCTCAGTGGATACAGCATTGGCCTGCGGACTGAAGGGTCCTAGGTTCGATTCCGGTCAAGGGCATGTACCTTGGTTGTGGGCACATCTCCAGAAGGGGGTGTGCAGGAGGCAGCTGATCGATGTTTCTCTCTCATCGATGTTTCTAACTCTCTATTCCTCTCCCTTCCTCTCTGTAAAAAATCAATAAAAAAGTATATTAAAAAAATAAAAATACAAGTCATCATTAATAAAATTTTTCCTTTAAAAATATAATCTAGTATATTTATAAAATATAATATATACTTGTGATACATTATAATAAATACAGATGCTCCTCAACTTACAATGGGGTTACATCCCAATAAACTCATTTTAAGTTGAAAAATATCACAAGCTAAAGATGCATTTAATACACCTAAGCTACTGAACATCATAGCTTTGTCTAGCCTGCCTTAAACATGCTCAAAGCCCAATATGCATAAAACACTGGCAACATAGTACAATGTAGAGTATTGGCTGTTTACCCTCCCGATCGCGTGGCTGCCTGGGAGTGGTGGCTGCCACTACCCAGCACCATGCACTGCATATCAGTAGCCCAGGAAAAGATCAAAATTCAAAATGTGAGCCCTAGCCGGTTTGCTCAGTAGATAGAGTGTCAACCTGTGGACTGCAGGATCCCGCGTTCAATTCTGGTCAAGGGCGCATGCCTGGGTTGCAGGCTCAATCCCCAGTAGGGGGTGTGCAGGAGGCAGCTGATCAATTATTCTCTCTGATCATTGATGTTTTTCTCTCTCTCCCTCTTCCTTCCTCTCTGAAATCAATAAAAATATATTTTTTATAAAAAACAGAAAACAAAACCAAACCATAAAAAGCCCAGAAAATTCTTTAAAAAGTGAAGTATGGTTTCTACTTTAACACCATCATAAAGTCGAAAAATCTTAAGTCCAACTATTATTAAGTGTGGCATTGTCTGTACTTACTATACATTATATTAATATTATAGAAATATATAGTATATGTAAATGTAATATATTATAGATGAAATTGAGGCTTGGGGAGATTAAGTAATTTCCTCCAGGTCATAAAACTTACAAAATTTGGAACCAACCAGGGCTCAAGTCAAAACATCTTATGCCTTTAAACTCTATGCTAAATTATAACTTGTGACTTTCTATTTATAGCACTCTAATGAGGTATTTTGGTCACAATAAGTACAGAGATGTGATAAATAAGAACTACACATATTTTTAGAGACATGAGACATGTGATGATAAACTACTCCACATCAAAGCATCAAAGCTGTTCTGGTCAAGATGGCGACACAGAGTCAACAGTTTGGATATTCCAGTAGGATAACAACAAAAACAAAACACCAGAATGAAATAAAAACCTATTCTGAAATTTCAAAAAAAAAGAATCAAAGCAAAGACTCCCACAATCCTGACTACATTTGTGCGTGCACACACACACCTCTGATGTCCATTGGGAGTGAATGGCTCTACCCCTGGTTCATTGGGAGTGAATGGCTCTACCCCTTGTTCATTGAGAAAGTGATGGCCTATGAAACAATACTTCACAATCCTCTGAAGATGACTTCTTTACTTAAGATGACTTCCTGTGAATTACAGAGGTCAACTGAGGCACAACAGCTTGGAAGAGGTGCCTGTTTTTTCCAGCAACAATCAAGGAAAGTTCCAGAACAAAGGAACAGTGCTGCCCCCGACAGGCACTGCCAAGGCTTTGCTGTGGATGTGTAGAGCACTTAGGGATCCTGTAAGACTTCACTGGCCTCATCACTCCTCTTAAAGGAGGGAGACAGAGAGACCGGCACCCGCAACTATGAAAATACCTTTGTTCCCTCCTGGCAGCAAATCCCTGCTTTGAATGTTCATTTCAAAGAGTGAATGGCACTATGTTAAAGCTTTGATATTTTCCCTCTTTATTTGGGATTTCATTTATTTATTTATTCATTTATTTTTAAAATGGAGATATTATACATTAGTAGGGACAGAAAATAGACAAAGTAAGTAAAGGGTATAGTGCCATGGTCGGCAAACTGTGGCTCGCGAGCCACATGCGGCTCTTTGGCCCCTTGAGTGTGGCTCTTCCTAAGCCTTAGGAGTCCCCTAATGAAGTGAATAACAATGTACCTACCTATATAGTTTAAGTTTAAAAAATGTGGCTCTCAAAAGAAATTTCAATCGTTGTACTGTTGGTATTTGGCTCTGTTGGCTAATGAGTCTGCCGACCACTGGTCTAGAGTGTATTAAAGAATGATGACTGCTAGGGAGGGAACAGAACGCCAGGAAGGGCAATGAGTGTGAGCAGAAAACAGGGAGGCACAGCTTCAGAGAGAGTGGCCAGGAACGACCCCGCAGAGAAGGCCACGTCTGAGCAGGAGTGAAAGGAAAGGAGGGCTTTTTGTTTGTTTGTCTTCACGTGTATGAATCTGCATCTGAGGATAATGATGAAAACCAACAGGAGCTCAGGGGCTCGGGGAGCAGGGTGTGAGAGTGAGTCTGGGGAGAGGAGAGGAGCAAGTCTAGGTGCAGCGGGCAGGCTGCGGTCACATTTGGGGAACTGAACACAGTTCTTCCAGGTCCAGAGCATTTGGAAGCCCTTCCTCCTTCCTTCCTTCCTTCCATTATGGCAGGTTTAGAGAATCCTCAAAAAAGAAAACCTGATTTGCTTGCCTAAAACTACAGTGCCCACCTAACCTCCCTTAGTCAGTGTCTCTTACAGTTTGCCCTGGCTCTTAATGTAAAGATTGGAAAACATTGCATAAAATGGGCGCTCTGTCTCTCTCTCTCTCTCTCTCTCTCTCTCTCTCTCTCTCTCTTTCTCTCTTTCTTTCTTTCCTGGTACAACTTGACTAGGCACATGTCAGTTAGGAGTTAGGAATTCAGGCCCTGGTGGTACCCTTCACTCACACCCTTAAAGCATCATGAGGTTCAAGATCAGTGGGTTGTTTCCCTCCACAAGTGGGAAGTTCCAGACGACTCAGTGACTTTTAAGTGGGAATATTAGGTATCTAAAGGAGCCAATTGCTATTTGAAGTGTCAAAATGGAATTACATACCCGTTTTTTAAAAGCATTTAAAAATGTGAGCTCCCATGGGCTACTTATCTCTATTCAGCATGGGTTGGCTACCTCTTTCTAGAAAAGGTACTAAATATTTTAGGCTTTATAGGCCCGTGGTCTCTGGCAAAACTACTCAACTTTGCCTCTGTGGCATGAGAGCAGCCATAGACAATTCATCAATGAGCGTGGCAATGTTCCAATGAAACTTCACTTACAAAAACAGGCAGAAAGCTGAATTGGGCCAGTGGGCTATAGTTTGCCAACCTCTGAATCATAGCTTATGACTGAAATAAACTAAGCCTCAGAAAAGACATTTTATTTTTATTGACTATGTCCACCTGGTTAATTCATTCAAACAAAATTTCATAAGCACCTAATCCAGTACTAGGCTTGGAATGATCAAAATGACAGCACAGTCCTGTCCTTAAGGAGTTTAACTTCGGTAAAAAGAACACAAGCAATCCATCACATACAGAGATTGTGGCAGTAGGCGTAAGTACCAAATACAATGGGTACCTGAGAGAAAAGACTTTGACATCTGTCCGGGGGATCAAGAGAGGCTTAACAGAGAAGGCAGTGTTTCAATGGAGACTTGAGAGTTGAATAAGAGGAGGAAGGCTTTGCCCGGTGGAAATGCAACAGCGGAAAAAAACAGTGGTTGCCAAGGCAAATGAGTTTGAGAGAACAGGCTTGTTTTGGGAAATGACACGGTGGAAAGGAGGAAAAGAGCAGGAGGCAAAGCCACGTGGAAGTCAGGGCAGATCCTGGAGGGCTTACTCCGCAGGCATTGCAAAGTAGGTTGGATTTGACTCGCCATCAAGGAACCTCCAGTAATAGAGAAACATGCTCCGATTGACATATAGGAAGGAAGACTGCAAACAAATTCCCATAGGAATTGAGGAAAAGGCCAAGTTGAAGATGTAGAAATCAGAAACGATGCTGGGCTGGGGAAGGTGATGATTCCAATTGGGAGACCCTCAGAACCACACAGAGGCTTGGGGATAAACTGGATGCAGCCGCAAGGTGGGAAAGAAGTAATTGAGTGTGACTTTAAGTTCCTATCTCGAGCAACTGGGAGTATAGTACACTAATCACCAAGATAAGAAAGAGCAGGAGGGAATTATGTGTTATGGGGAAAGAAGAAAATATT